CTATAAATTGCGTCTTTGTTCAACGTTAACGAGAAAATGTGTAATAAAAATTTCGAAACTTCTAGTGTTTTAAGTGAACTTGAAACGTATTGAACGTAAATATTGGCAATATTCAGCAGTTTTCTCATTCATAAATTCATACATGCAGCCAATGTCTCTTTATTTTTATTAATATAATAGAATAAAAGTATTAATAAAATTAATATTATATCAATTTAATATTATTAGGTATATTCCGAAATGGCGATTTTGTTCCTTTATTAAAATCGACAATTACGTCAAAAAATTAGGTTTATGTACCTAAGTAACTCCTAACTTTGTCCCCTTTTCTTTTGGACAAGGACAAGGAACCGCAAAAGAAAATTGCACACATTCAAGAACAGATTAAATACATTGGTATCATGTTTTTTTTTGTAATCGTAATCGTAATCAAGAAATTTTTAGGTAATTCTACAGTAAAAGTATCATCTTTTCAACGTTTCATAAAAAGAACATTTCTCAAGCTCTCTTATAAAAGTAAAAACTGAAATTTTTTTCCATCTTTTTTTCCTACCGGAAAAATGGAAAGAATTAAGGGAGACGCTTCTCTGACTGATGTATTCACATTGAAAAATTGATTTTGTTCCAAACAGTTCCAGGACACGCTGAAAGCTAGTAAGACAATGAGTGCACCAACCTGGAGTACGCTGGCGCCGATGCTGGCATTCTCAGCGACAGTGGCTGAATATTGTCGCGGATCGAACACCGGCGAATTGTCGTTCTCGTCGAGGACCGTGACAGTGACTGTGATCGAGGACGATCTCGGTGGTTCACCGCGGTCTTTCGCGGTTACTTCCAAGGTGTAGTTTGACCTTAATTCGCGATCCAACGAGCCAGATACGCGCAATAGTCCATCTACGGGGCCAACGGTGAAGGGAAGCGTCGTGTCCTCGAGGGAGTATTCTACATATCCATTTCGTCCTTCGTCCCTGTCCACTGCCTTAATGGCCATCACTACCGTGTTGCTCGGCGCGTTTTCTATTATCGAAATCTTCGTTGGCGATATGAACTCCGGCGACATGTCGTTCACGTCCAGCAACACCACCGTCACCTATCGATACAATAACGTACGCGATTAATTCTCCACTACAACTTTCTTCAACGCTGGAACAACCAAGCAGGCATCGTTAAAACGATCGACTCGCGATCTTTTCCAATTTTTCAAAGATTTTTGTCTCCTTGGATTTTAATTTTTCTTTGATATGAATTTTTATACACGTAGAGCATCTAAATATTTGAATAATCTAATATTCTGTTAATATTAATCTCTATCAGAGGCATGAAATACAAAGTAAAATTAAATAAATTTTTGTAATATCATGCCAACTATTATATATGGTCATCTATGTCTCTAAAATATTACTCGAAGGTTAACGTGAAATTCAATCGCGAATTCATGCAATTTCTTCCAAACTCGAGATAATCTCTAATTATAAAGGAATCGCGGATTTTTATACACATTTGAAAGTGCAAAAATGTATGCGATGATGTGAAAAAGTACACGTATGAAATATCCAAAGTACAGTATACTACAACATTCAGATTCTCTCTTAATTACATCATAACTCCAAAAAATATAAATGTACATAAAAAGTCGCCAATCTAATTTGTAGTGTAATAATAAGCAGTACCGAGGAATGCAGTGAGATTCAATTTTTGCTACAAACACGATCTCATGATCGGTAGCGATACACGACACGATATTGCAAGACGAATGTATCGTTTGTTGCAGGGAGGATGCGAGACAAACCTGCACGGTGGAAGACAAAGGGAGGGCAGGTGGCAAAGGGCTGTCCGTGGCGCTGAGGATCAAATTGTAAAGTGGCTTTTGTTCTCTGTCGAGCAACTTCCGAGTGAAAAGGGTGCCGTTTGGTGCCACTCCGAAGTCACCGTTCTCGTCACCGCCGGCGACAGCGTAAATTACCCGGCCGTTATCTCCGGAGTCGAGGTCCTGGGCGGTCACGGATAGAATCGATGTGCCGATCGTCGTATTCTCCACGATATCCGCGGCGTGTGGGCCGGCCTCGAAGATCGGCGCATTGTCGTTCAAGTCGACAACGTTGCAGTAGACCGTCACCGTGGAGGAAAGCGCCGGGATGCCGCCGTCTGTTGCCTGGACTACTAGAATGTAGTGCTGCACCTGTCAAACGATCAAGGTAAGTGTTTCTTCATTTATTCGAGACGATTCCCTGTACATGCAATGAAATTGTCATCGACGAAAGCCTTCAACTAAGAGGGCCACATCCCCGTTTGGTATTTTGAAATAATTTAAGGATCATCTTTGCTCGATAGATTGGTCATCTCATCTAACTAGAACTCAGAAATGGCGAAGAATTTGATGGTGCTTCTGAAGAAAAATTAGAAGATGAGGGAATTTGGTTTTAATCAAATTTGGAGACTGTGTTTGGAAATTGAATTAATCATTATCGATATCATAGTCATAGTCATAGTTATAGTCATAGTTAATAATAGTCATAGTCATAGTTAATAATAATAATAATAATAGTAGTAATAATAATAATAATAATAATAATAATAATAATA